TAAAAGATGAATTATAGATATAATTTATATATATATTAATAAATTATATCTATAATTTATTTTTTACATATCTTTTAAAAGATATATAATATTTTTGTGAAAATTACACTTTGATATTTCCTTTATCATTTGACATTTTAAGTAATAAAATAATAATTTTTTGAATTATACGTCCAAAACCATTATAGTGACTTCTATTACAATGCACAAAATTTCCTATCTCATGCATAATACTAATAACTTTGAAATTAAATAATGTGATTAGATAAAATTTATGCATTACATTTGTTAAAGAATTTCATATCCATTTACTAAATTTTTATAAAAATTAATTCAATTTATCCTAATGGCTTAGAAAAGTTTTTTTTTTGTTTTTTCGTGTTCATTTCATTGTTATATGAAGTCAAGTTTCTAAAATACATAAATTTTTAATAGTTTATATTAGTGTATTTTTATTTTTATTCTTTCCTTTAAAAATATTTAATAAAATAAAAATTTAGAAAAATGATGGTTTATATAACTTAAATATGTTTGAAATAGGCTTGTGAATATTGTACAGCATTTATTACTGTTTAACCTATTTATATTTTATCCTCTTTGAAGATGACTAATTTAACATTATTTCTTACAAGTAATGTGAATAATTATGAATAGTAATTATTCCAAAAATTTTAAATAGTAGTCTTTCCAGTATGAAAAGCTTACTTTAAAAGCAAATGATGAAATTTTTCTTTTTTAAATATAAATCCAAAAAGAAATATTTACATAAGTATTTTATAATGAATAGAAATATTGAAAGATAATTTTTCTGCAATAGATAAAAGCATAAAACCACTAATATATATTTAAAATTTAACTTTAGAATATTAGAAATTCCTACATAAATTACTGAATATTAAATTTGTTGAGAATAAACTAATTATTTAAAAATTTGATTGCATAATAAAAGTAATATTGTAAGAAAAAAGAATTTTAGAAATAAAATATGATAAATTTAAGTTAATTTTTATAAACATTATGTGCATAAAATTTATTAACATTTTTTTAAACATTTAGATATATGACTGATGATATGAGATAGAAAATTTGTATATTAAGGACAATCATCAATATTTTACTAATTAAACAATTAGATAATAAAGAATATATTTCCTGAAATAAAATTTCTTTATATTAGGGATGAAAATTTAGTTTCCTAAAAATATTATCTACAGAATTCAGTTTTATATATAAACTTTTAATGTTTTTTTATCTCAAAATAGATATTTGTAATATTTTTATTCATTCTTCGTAGTTCTCTAAAAACTAAACATTACATAACCTAAATTACAGAATTTAGATTATATAATTTTTAAATTAAAATTCATCAAAATATTTCATATTCATAAAGAATCAACAAATTAAATGTGAATAATGATTATAATGATGACAACATGGAAAATTACATTTTTGAAATTTACTATGACTTAATCATTATCAAATGAAATCCAATTAGCAATGATGATCATCTGAATTGCATTTTTAATTTGAACTAAATTATTTAATAGAAATTACTTTAAAGTAATACTCAACAGAATCGATTTTGGAAATATGTATACAGGCAGTCCTAAACTTTCAGACAACTCACTCTTTCATGCATTTTCTGCTTGACAAACAAAATTCCAAGCTATCATGCCTTAGTGCTTTCAGCCAGTTTTGGTTTCAGTAATATAAAATTAATTTTTATAAGTTTTGATTATCTATTTTCTGTTTATTATTTTAACATTATTTAAAATGTTTTTTGCATTGTAACATATTTATTATAAAAAAGTAAAACTTTCCTATCTCTGGGTGTGTATATTATTAATTCTAGCATCCAAGTTATAATTGTAATGCTTGTTAATACCAATTCCAATAATATTTGAATATTGAAGAAACAGAAAATATACAAACTACTAAATAAACTTTTAATTCCAAAGTAATATTTTAGTAGGAATTATCATGAAGTTGAAAGTTAAAGTGGGAATTATCATGATGAAAATAATGTTCTTTTCAACTGTTCAAAAATATATTAAAATCTATTAAAATCTATAATCCAAAATTTTGTAATACATATATTTAGTTATAATAAAATTTCTGTTTTCTTGATAAACAGATGCATAAATATAATATGAATTTTTATATTCTGATTCATAGTTTGAGCCATCTGAAAAATTTTGAATTGCTATTTTTATACTTAGTTCCCCCTCTTGATTTTATCAATATTTATTGAATTATGGATGTCATCATCATACTAAAAGTTTTGACTACTTGGGGGATGCATTTTTTAAATACGTTACAAAACAAAAATATTCAATTTACCAAGAATATATTAATTTATCAAACCAGTTATAAAAATTTCCTTCTTGCTATTTATAGTGGTAATGTTTGTAGATTTAAATATTTTCCTGAAAATATTGTCTAAATAAATTTTAAGTTAAATCTGTCATAAAAATACTTATTCAGTGATGATATAAATCTATATAGCATTTAAGATTCAAATTACTATTGCTATAGTTTTAACTGTATAACTAGGTAAGCTATTTTGGAAATGATCCATGTTTAATAAAAAAAATAAACAAGATTACCTTTTTGTATGTGCCAGTTACATTGAGATTGAATGAAAGTACAATCTAGGGGACTTCATTTTTTTTAGAGTTAGATATAAAATCACATAAAAAGAAATTACTACATTTTAAATTTCAGATTATCATAATAAACTAATGGCACAATATCTAAAATATTTGTTTCTGATGAAAGAAATTTTAATAAGTCCATTCACCAAAAAGAATTTAGCTTCCGTATCTTATTCAAGCAATATAGTCAATACAACGAAATCTTATACATAAAATTGGATATCAAATGTATAAAAATTAAGCAATAAAATGTGAAAAATTTTAGCTGTTCTTTTGGTTAATTCTTGATGTTTAAGAAAAATTCAATATTGGTAACTTTGATAATTGCAAATATAAGACAGTATTAAATTCAAATATATATTTCAGAACTGTAATAATTACATTTTTTGGCTTTGTTCCAACACAACCAAAATACAATAGAATTTAATTAGTAATTCACCAACTATTTCTAAGGTTGAAAAAAAATTCATTGAGTTATTTTCATACAATATTATAAAAATATTAATAAAAAAAAAAAGCTAAAGAACTATTCTCTTTTAGTTCTAAAATAAGAAATTTGGCTCTGAACATAGTTGTATTAAAAACCATATTCAGTTAAAGCACAATTCTGAAATATATTTTCCTCCATGTAAACTAAACTGCATGGATGAATTGCATAAAGTTACTGTGTAATATTTGCACAAATTGAAGTGAAAATATTTTAAATAATGGCTTTATCTAAAAACTGTGTTTAAAAAAAAATTTAAAAAATGCTGTAGAGTATTTGAATTTTTTCATTTTTAAAAAAAAATTACAAAACTTTTATTAGAATTTTTAAATTTTTTGTATTTTATTTTCAGAAATTCAATAACAATTATATAATCAATGTAATCTAGATGAATTCAATGAATTTCTACAAACACATAACATGAGTAAATTATTAAGCTTTTCCTTTTTAACAGTTGTGCAAATTTTACACTTTGTGTTCTACAGAAAGAAAATGTCAACTATATTGTGGTCTTAATCTCAATTGTTTTCAAAAATCGATGCAAGCTGGAAACAGTAAAATAGTAGCGAGACAGTGTGGCGACAATTTTTCTACAGTACAATTTGGAAAGACATCTAAACATTCAGATCCACAGGATAGAAGGAACAGTAAACAGCTTTAAACAATCCAGATGAATTTTTCTGGCAAAATACATTACATCCCCAACAACTTGATTAACCAATTTTTATATTTGATACTTGACCTACGGTAACAGGACAGGAAACAAAAAAGAGAACATTGTTCTGTAACACAACCGGACTCATGACACGTATGTATTAACTACCAAAACAACCTGTGGAAACCTTAATACGAGTAGAATAGGGGATTTAGGATTTCGGAGAGCAAATTTCGAAGCAGAATGAGCACACAGACATTTCACTGTTCTTTCTTTCCCTGTGGGATTTTTGCTTTCACAGTTGCCATGATATCCTTCACTCTGACACACACCATATCAATATTTTTGTCAATTTGGACCTTGTAGGTTTCGTACACTTTAGGTAAGGAAAAGAATGCAACGTAAGCCAAGACAACAAGGGTCATTCCATTGAACCACGCACCGATGTAGGTCATGCACCACAGCAACATTCCCAACTTCAAGGAATCTATCAGATCTTCTACCAGGAATAGACTACGCAATCTTTGCAAACTTGCATTAAAATGTACCATGACAGCATCTACATACTCGTGGACCCGATTAGATGGAAGCGTGATATCCATATCCAAATATTCTTTGAAGGGATGACCATTACCAGATTTCTGAACTGCCTGCAGGACATTTTTGTAGATTCTAAAGCCGGTAGTGACACCAAGAACCATTAAAGCAGTGTATGCCACCACACTTATAACAGAACAATAGGTGAAGGAGAGTAATAACATCAATCCAACGCCGAAAACAACTCCAGACTTGCGGATATCTCTCCAATAAATCATATCGCGCACTGAAGGATGCATGTGTTCAGCTTTAAACCAAGCCATAGGGCAACAACTCTTACATACTTCGTTTGCTTTAACTGGTTCCGGCTTTTCTGCCACTTCTGTGCTTGTCGTCGTTACTTCTTCGGTATCCATATTGTTTTTCGTGTATTCGTTCTTCTTCCAGTTAATCCTCTCCAACGTCTGCAGAGTAACTGAAGATGGGCACTTTCTTTCCCGAAATCCTTTGCGAAACCCAACCGAAAGTAGTCCGGCGACGATTTCGAACGAAACGATTTCCTACTGTAAATAAAAAGCGTCCGAAATATATATCCACAACTACTTTAAATCTAACGAATAATCAAATTCGATCGTATATAATCGAAATTTATCACCAACTTTTGGATTACGATTCAACCGCCGAGCGAACTATTTTGATATCGGAAGCTTACACGTTCTATATTGAGACCGGAAGGCGAAAGCGCATGCGTTTTAGCTCGGGGTGTGGCTCGTCCAACTGAAATTATACGCAAATAACGTTCGAAAATTATTCATAATGAATAATTTAAAAGGAATAACTTTCGAAAAACTTAATTAATTACGCATTTTAAAAATTATCGACTTTCAATAACTCAGTTAAAATATACTGTAACAAATTATAATTTACATAAATAAATTTCAGGTTTGTGACGTCACAATTCAAATTTCAAATATGTATTCAAATTTAAAACAAAAATAAATAAATTAGATAATCGTTAAGTATTCGAAAACGCGTAAAAATATATTTATGGTAATAATTTTCGTTTTATTTTCGATTTTTTGTTTAATCTTCTAACTAAACCATGCTTTCCAAAACTGATGTGAATCATTGGATTTTCTTATGATGCAACGCTTTTTCAGAATACTACGTGCAAAACCTCAATATGATAAATATAAATAGCTGTACACGTATCCATAGGTTATTTACCATGAAATACTTAATAGATATGCATTTAAGCGCACGTCAATTGTGAAAATGTTGACCTTCTTGTTGCTCAAACAAGAAATTTATTTAAATAAGCGGCAGAACTAGTTGATCGACTTGAATCGAATCAAGGTAAAATGGCTCAAATGCATTCTGCTAAATATCATGTTAGCAAATATAAATTCCTTATGATTCTAATACGATTTACCAATGTTTACAGTTGAGCAAATTTTAAAATAATTTTTATATTCAATAAGGAAAGAAGATTGAAAATATAACGATTCGATTGAGTAGTTTGTAATATAAATATTTAGCTTATAAAAATACAAATGCCCGCAAGATTTTGCTTACAATTTTTAATATTGATTTAAAATATTTGCTTGGTAATTTCAGTCTTTCAAAACATGTTTAAAATTTCACAATATTTCACATTTTACTTCCGCGAAGCGTATCAATAAGATCATCAATAAATCACATGGTATAATTATATCTTGTCATATTAATTATTTTAATTAGTTAAGAATTTTTCCTTTTGTAATTTTTCAAATTTATTTTTGCAATTTTTATCAATAAATATTAAAAGAACAAGAGGGTAGAGCCCATGAAAATTTAANGTACTGACTTAAACTTAGAATACGTAAAATTCAATTAAAGTGTATTTGGAATTTACAGCACTTAAAATGCTAATTTACACATATATTTAAAAACCTGGACAAATTGAAAATCCGGATGTGATCGGTTCCATTAGTCCGGATTTTTCACGCTTCACCGTATTAGCATTTTTAAATAATCAATAAAAGTTATTAAGATTATGTAAAGCTAAAAATCACTCTATGTAATATCAATAATTTTAACATCATTCTATGACAAAAAATGTAGACTATTTTATTTTTATAATTTTGATACATTTCTATGAAATAGCAAAAAATATCTTCAGGCCATAGTTATCATAATTGCAATACAAATATCTTAATTTAAATAATAAATATTTAAAATAATTATACCTTATTATTTTAAGTTTTACAAAACTTTAAATATTAGGCATTGCATCTAATCTACATTAAATAGTATATAATTATTTAAAAACAACTAAAACTTAATTTAAAGAAAATAATTATAATGTTATACAAAAAAATATATAAATTTAAGTAATTAGTATATATATTTTTAAAATTTATTAAGCAAAAAAATATAGAACTATTTAAAAAAAACTCATTCAGGATAACATTGAGATGATACGATGTCAAGGTACTCAAGTTTTTAACTTAAAAAATTTTAATAAAATTTAATATTTATTCGAATTTATTCTAATTATATTATTGAAACTCTCTTAAAACCTGTAATATAAAATTCTGTTGTTCCATTTCAAGAAAGCTGAATAGTTTTTATCACGTATAATTTGATAAAAATAACAGCTTTCATCACATATGATAAAAATAATTCTTGCAAGAATTATAGATTGTTATATTGAATTTTTAATATACTTTTATATATATATTTATTATTTTAATATATTTTATTCTCATCTGTTTGTTGATAAATTTAACGAACTATTTCCTTATATAATTTTTAGAATGATTTTAAAATATTATAAATAATTTTTCTGATTATCTTAAATTGACCTGTTGAGTTATTTAGAATGTAAAGCATGAACGTAAACAATATAAAAAATTAAATCAAACTAGACATGTCCGGTTAATATTATTCCGGAAAAATTGAACTGATAAACAGAAAATTGAATTCTAGATAGAATCATAAATAAAAGTCTTCCCTGTTTGTTCTCCCTGCAACATAAAGTAACCTTTATGCGTGGATGTTGAAAATAGAAATTATTCAATTATATACTAATTTTTTACATATGTTCTTATTTTACATAATTAAGAAAATATCCGGTTTGTAACCTATTTTATGTTTACTTCTTAAACAATAAATAGTATAAAATAATTATAAAAAAATAAAACAAAAATTTGAATTTAATTATTATATACTAATTTATTTACATTATATTACAAATCATAAAAAATGCATCATTATCAATAACATTCGCTTCTTTATACTGATTACAACTATAAATGATTATTTTTCCGGATCTGTTATATATAACAGAGAGAGAGAGTATGGCGATCGATCAAAAAATGACCCCCTTCCAAGATTTTACATTGATGCAATGCCGTCTTTAGAACGTAAGGGACCCTGGGTCAGGGCCAAGATGGGGCCCCCTTAATGAAACAGAAACAATAGTATATTACAGACCTAGGGATGCATTATTTGTTTCCTCCCGTAAAGTATATACGATTTTTCACCTCCCTCGGGCAGGAAGTGGAATTTTCTTTCCGCGCAGCAGGAAGAAAGTACAGTTTTCGGCCGAGGTGTGGTGATAAGAAGTATCAAAAATTTTGTAAGTTTGCTTAGTTTTAAGATCATTTTTAATTACGTATAGGAGAAATAAAGTATTTGATATTTTTAATAATTTGTTTATTTTAATTAACCTATTTTTTATTTGTAACTTTATTACTTTCGAATTAGGAGCCCCCTACGGCCTGGGGGCCCTGGGCTAGGGCCCAGTAGTCTCTGCCCTAAAGATGGCACAGCATTGATGGACTCAGAGGACTTTGAAACGTCAAGAAATGCAAAAATATTCGGGAATTTTTTCTGTATGTATGGATTTTAGTATGTGGGGGCACGATTTTGTTCACCCAGTTTGAAGCTTAATAGAGAGGTTGCGGCCGAAGTTTTCATCTTTATAACGTGAACGTCGAACGTCGAGCCCACCACATACTATTATAGATTATTTAATAACATTAATTAATGCTATTAAATAATCTAGTTAATAGAAGTTGCATATAATATCTTGTAACCGACACTCGACGTTCACGTTCACGTTTTACAGATGAAAAGTTCGGCCGCAACCTCTCTAATAACTCCTGTGCTTTTTGTTGAAAATTTCAGAAATTTTGCAGGGAGGTTTTTGTACTAGTGGGATTGGTGCTATTAAAATTTGGTGGTTAAAGGTCGATGGGATGGGAAGATAAAGAGGGCGTCGTGTCATATCGCGAGTAGGGTCGGACTGAATGATGATTTTACTCATTAGCATTTACAATTTTTTTTCATAAAACCCATTCCTACCCTGAAAGTTAAACTTTTTGCCGTTTTATAATACTGTAAGTAAAAATATAAAAGTTTTTATATCATAACAGATGGTGCCACACGCGCAGTTTTAAACGTTGCCGGGAAAGTTAAGAAACTCTTTGCTGGATTTTTTTCTCCTGTCTTAAAATATTCGAAAAATATTCTTAAAATGTTTATTAAATGTACATATATTTACGTACATTTACTAAATTTAAATTTTGCTAAAATATTAATACGAGTATTTTAAATTTAATAAATTTTTTAATAGGACCTATATTTGCTTGTCTTGCTTCAAAGTATGGAGATTTAGTATTAAAATTTTTAAATTTTTAATAATAAAATGTATTTTTTTTCCTTTCATAAAATTGCTTACATAATAGAAACACCAATTGAAACATTCTATTTTTAGTAGATATTATATATTTTAATTTTTTATTTTTGATTAAATCTTCACACATTAATTAATGCTATTAAATAATCTAGTTAATAGAAGTTGCATTTAACAGTTTTATTATTAATTATTAAATAAAATAATTGTAAAAAATTTTAAAAATAAGAATATTTTATATTGTTAATTTTATGTTTTTATTATCTTATTTCTTGTTTTTGTTACTAAACAATAATGGAACAATAATTATCACAATGATGAGAAGAAATCAATACTGTTGGGTGATAAAATAACATAAAAGAAATATCAAATATTCAATTTTTAATTTGGTTTTAAATAACTTGATTAAGTATGACCATATTAAACAATTCCAAAAATGAATACTTGTTTGTAAAATCAAAACTGTAAATTATACTTAACTTGTATGTCTAACTAATGAAAGCAGTTATTGTGCCATGTATAAAATCTTAACATGCTATGATTTATTAGGTTTTGACGCTTTAAATATATAAAATTTTTTACGTTATTTATTAAAAATTCTTGATAAACTAATCTGCAAAACTTCCTTGAGTGGAAAACACTTAATTGGCCTTAAACACTTAATCTCTTCTAATCAATCATATTTAGTCAAGCAATTCCTGCACCCAAAATAATATGATCTAGAAAATAAAGCATCTTTTCTTATAAGAGTGGAAAGAATCGTCTTTCACGACGTCCACGATAAAAATAGAAACATAGGAGACTTTTCTAGCAGCATATTGCTGTGGAGAAATGTTTATATATATAATTTAGTACAACATTTTGTTGAAAGATTGGATTATTAATTCACTAATAAATTGTACTGTATATAATACGTGACGTTTCGAATTATATCTTTATTAATTTTAATAAATTAGTAAGTTTTTAAATTGACGAATTTATATCATTTTACTGATTTCGAGTGCCATCTATAACGATTTAATAATGTTTTAATAAGCGACCACTCGATTCTAAGTAGCAGAACATAAATATTTTTAAGATAAAGAAAATTACATTTGAATTTAT